CGCAAAGCCTCCCCCGTGACCTCTCTGGCTTTCTACCCGTCAAGGAAACAGAATGAAACCAACGAACCTGAATGAAAAACAACGTTGAATAGCGCAAACAATCTTGTAGGAAAGCCTTGTGGTATGCTTCGCACTTTTCTAGGACACTCTTGCTTGACATTCTTCCATGACGTTCGTGTGCGGTATTTTTGTTTGTCTTGTGGGGCACTCTTGAGTGACGCTCTGCGCCGCTCTTCCCCAACACTTTCTCTAGAGACTTTTGGGGAAAACAATCTTTCTCGACATGCTTTTGTGCGACACTCTTCCAAGACATTCTTGTGGAGCTAATCTGATCTTGCTTGGCAGTTTGAGTTTAGTGGTGCATGGCACCCATATGAAATTTGTGCGAAGTGGATCGAAGTGGGTGTTTTTCCCAACAAGACCCAGCAAAAGCCTAATTAAGACATATTAAGACTTTATGACATTTTCTCCAGAATTCACATCGATCCCGTGAGCGTTTTGCTGAATAGACGCCCCACTTAAACCTCAGGAGGAAAGTTGGGTGCAGTCCTGATGTGCATTGCCTGGCTTTTGGAGGCAGTCTACAGTACCAAATGCTCGCTTGGATCACGCAGCCCCCCAACCCCTCAACACCGCAATTTGCAGCTTTAACTGTAAGTGAGACCCGTTGTGAAAAGACAGCTTCAAACAAAATCATCAAAATCCTTCAGGAGCACATCCCCATCGCAAATCTGACGGCAGGTGTGCGTGGGCTCGAAAATCAGACGTCGCAAACGTCACAAAACGCCAATGCTATTTCACACGAATCTGACACGTCATCCTTCCATCCAAGACCTCCTCCACAAGCTTCCCATAACACGACTCTTTCGCGCAGGTAGGGATACTGAATGATGATGGGACAACGGTTGCTGACGGCAAGCAACGTCCCGAGAACACAACTCAACCCTACACCCCTAGAATTAAACAGCAACCTTCGCTACGCTTCGAACAACAAAAATATTCACTTGCGAGGCAAAGTGCCCTAATTCTTTTCCATCCACACTCCCTCATGGCGTGGCCCTGCTCCGCCCTCGCCCCTGAGCGTGCCAACGCCCCAGCTCATGCACAAGGCCCCGCAAATCGCGTTGACTGAGCCTCTCGATCCAAAGCCTCACGTTAGTTGAGCAAAATGGTATACAGTACGTCGGGTAAGCCCCATCAGCAGTAACAGCGGATGATGATGGCTGGTACAGGCCTTTCTCCGGTCTTGATCCGGATACTTATTTACCGACTGTCACAGGTAATAATAGGACAGACCAAAGGTATACAAATGCAAAAACCCGGCAGCCCGGTTGTCCAACAGTGAGATGTTCTACATACCCATGGAATCCCATGGAGGGCAAAATACGATCAACATTCGTTGAAACGGCGTTCGAAGGTTCACTTGCAAATGCCTGTGCCTTCGAGCTCAATATTGACTCATTGCAAGCTGCACGCCTTACCTGGCATCTGTCTCGGTGCAAGTCAGGAGGGAGTCCACCTAGGTGGGCTTTGACTGAAACGCTGTGGCAAACCAGGGCTCACATGAGGCCAAAAAACAGCAATGTCATCGCGACAAACGCATCCTGTTCAATCTTGCTGACTGCAAGCTGCTACACGGGCCCCTGCCGTCCTCTCACCAAAGGTATTCAAAGTGCCATCCTCGTTGAGTACCACATGGCGCCTGAGAAGTCACTGGCAAGTCAAGTCTCAACGGGCAGCTAAAATTGTATCTTAAAGATGGTACAAGCATCGGTTCAACGTGTTGTAACATTTCTGACTTCTGCAAGCGCTGAGGGTCCTGAGGGTTTATGAGAATCAACTATCGAGGGTTAGCGTGGCAGTGCGAAGGGTGAATCGAGCGAATCTAGTGCTGAGGCGTTTGCGAGCCTGATTGATTTGCACTGCGCATCTAAGATTAAGTTGTGCTCTTCAATTATATGTATGCAATTGTATGCACATCTCATCCGTCTCTCTCTCTCTCTCTCTTTCTCGCTCCCTCTGCAAACTCTAGCCGTCTCACAGCTGTCCCACAGGGACACTCTGACGGAATAGCTGCACTAGTGCAGCTCCTCAAATTGGTGCATCTCAAAATGGAAGGAACGTGTGCAAATACATGTCGCCTGCCATTGGTGGGGAGGAGAAGGGGCAAATAATGTGTGACATGTCCATCCCGAAATGTAGTCCTCTCGGCTGTGGCAAATAGGCGACAAGCCGGGAAGAGCCCAGAAGGATCGCTACAGAATTGTTGGACAAAGTGTGTCTTCAAGGCATCTTTTGCTAGGACCATGGTGGCAATCGAGAGCAGCGTGTTGGAAACCAATGGGGGCAGCAGTGCAGCAGCACCGGTGGTACATCACAATCGCTTCATGGCGGGCAATTCGTTCCGCAAGTCCAAGTACTCTATACATATATATATATATATGTATATACACATTGTACGTATAAAAGCGAACATTCCTGACATTCCTTTAAGCGTCCCGCGCGGTGAGTGCTCTTTCTGGTCGCTGCTGGCGCCGGTTGCCGGTCAGCACAGGTTGCGTTGTCGGTTGCCAGTGCGGCTGGCATGTCTAACTGTCTAACTAGCTCCTATCTATGTTCCTCTCTATCCATCTTTGTATCGTTAACCATTCGTCTGCCGGCCGAAAACAAATGTGAATATATATATAATATATATATGTATCAAGAAATATCAAGAATTGTATATACACACCCATACCGCCATCTGCAGAGTCATGATGGTGCCTTGGCGCAAGGAAGAAAGTGAAGTGCATAGTGGACAGAGCGGAACCACCGACGAGACAAATAAACGCGTCTATCTTGCATGCTATTGCTCAGTTTAGATTTGTGTATCCACGGCGTCACTGACCATCAACATTTCTAGCCTAGCTGTACCTACTACCGCTTCTGTATCTCTATCTGTGTGTTTGTCCGTCTGTCCTTGCCCTTCGAATCAATGTGCCCACATACGTTTTGATGTCCCTTAACTAGACAGCATGGTGCGCAAAACATGTACACAGACCTGCTTATCAATCGACATAGCGTTGCATGTGCACTCCCGTTTATCTAAATCTGTCTCGCGAGGTTGCGTCTATCGACATATCTCATGTGTCCATCTGACTCTATGACTCTATGTATACTGTATAAGTGTTTATATGTCTACCGACGTCTATATAACCACACCTATCTTTACGTATCTAGAATTATCCATCCATCTTTGTTCTACTTTTCTTTCTATACTGATTGCAATCGATCATTGCAACTATACTTTGCGACCTCTGAATGCATATCTCTTTCTGCACCTCTCTGTCTATCTCTATCTATAGGTCTCTCTCTCTCTCTCTCTGCAGCGTCTGGCTACACCGCAGCCGTCCCACAGGGACACGCTGAGGAAGGACGATACATTGCTGGACCCGCACTCGGTCTGTCTGTCTGTCTGTCTGTTTGTGGTGCCGCTGCGGGGTGGTGCTGTTTGGCCGGAGGCGAGTAGCCGTGATCCAATGGCTGTGGCGGGTGAACAGCATTTGTTCAATAGTAGCTGTCCTGTATGATCGCTCCAGGTCATCGGTCGCGGGGCGTCTTAATGTGGGTGGACCTGGTAGTCGGTGGCTGTGGCGGGCGATCCCTGTTGTGACTTGTCTTTGCATAGCCACCTACCTTTCTATCTCTTCTATTCCTTCGATCTGTCTGTCGAGATCAACCAGGTGTATCTGCCTTTGTTGGTTTCCCGATCATATATCAATCGGTCGTATCATCTACATCTCTCTCTCTCGCTCTATATATCTGTCTTTCAGTCCTAATCGGATCTGACTTGTACTTAGTGAAGCTGAGATTTTGATATATCAAACCTACTGTTCTATCTTCTCTTTCGATCGGTTTATCATGGCTTATCTATCCATCTGCCAGTGGCTGGCCGGCGGCGGTCGCGGGCGCTGGTGGCAGATTCCCGGGTGCCGCTGCTGGTGGCCGATTACAGGCAATGGCCAGGTTGCCAGTGCAGGTGGCCAGTTGCCCGTGGCCGGTTGCAGGAGCACAAATGTGTGGGCACTACGCTAGTTCAGAGTGTCGGACACTTAATCAGAAGTAACATCAAGTATATATATATATATATCCAAGGCTATAGAGTGGGATACAAAAATTGACATAGGATTTACCATATATAGTCAGGTTCAGTCAATCTCGGATGCCTGTGTCAAGCCTCGCCAAGAATCTTGTGGGCCCACTGCAAGTTGAGGCGGAATTGTGCCGGGAGCCGAGCGGTCTTGACATTAAGTGGCTTTCAACTATGACAATGAGTTATTCACTTATTCTTCTGTGCTGGACCACTGCTTAGGTTCAAACGTCTGACCAGATTGTGCATCGACCTCGATCCGCGCTTAGCAATTTGCCCGGTGGCTGGATGAAGACAGAAAACCGGCCATCGGATATCGCACCATTTGACGTTTGTGTTGTGCAACAGGCGCGGTGCTTGATGCTCAGGCTTGCAGCCAACTGCCACAACCGGATCCGCTTGGCCACCAACAGATCTGAGGATGATCGGCTGACCTCGCCTGTCAGGCCAACCAGTTATTCTGATGAAGGAACTAAACCAGCTGCGGGCTTCTGGTAATATGAGAAAGCGAAGCTCGTGTTCTCCACGTGCTCACTTCCAAACTCAGCTTAGGCCCCATACTCATCAAAGGCGATCGGTTCCCCTGGCAAAGCCTAGGCAAAGCAGTCTGCCAAGGTAGCATCTGCTAAAAATGCTGCTGTGATAAGCTGTGCACCATTTGCCTAGAGTCTGCTCAAAGTTTAATGATCTGCCGATAGCTTGCGAAAATGATTGGACCCAGTGGTCCAAATCAACTTAGCTGGTTGAACGTTGCTGATAATATGCCTTGGGCAATCAGCACGGAGACTGTACATCAAAGAGCTCGGAGCCAATGACCTTTCCGTTCGCGTTTTCAGGTAAAAATAACATCAAACAACAAAACATGTTGACATCATCCGCGAGCGGATTTTTGCCAAATCACTGCAATGGCCACACCAGCTACACACATGAAGAGCACCTTGGCGAGCGCAGCAATGAAGGCAAACTCAACAAAGCGCAACCCGAAGTTGAGGCGGCCAAGGGTGACCATCTGACTTGCCACTTTTGCATCTGAGGAACACAAAGGGCCGCCCAATGCCACTTGTGCCATCTGTTTGGAGTCTGCACTTCCTTCACGACGCTATCCACCAACCATACACACAAAAAGAACAAAGCTACGCCATCAAATGAGCCCTTAAGCATCCTGGACCACAACATCCAAGCCTCATAAAGCAACGAGATTTCTCGCCCACGACCCAAACAGGAGCCCATACGTTGCCAAGCCCAAAGCGAGGCCTCTGCTGGCCTCAAGCGCTTTGCATCAGCTGCGCTCATTGAACTGATGGAACCCATTTTTTCTTGTTTGGTGAAAACTCTTCCGATGACTCACCATCACAATTGTAGAGCTCTTAGTCGCCCACTGTGCACACCAACTGGCCACCCATGTTGATCATGTATACAAAGGATGCAGCGAGACAGTCATTAAACAACAACATCCGGAATTATCCAACAGTGTATTCAAGTAAGTAGCGTCTTCTTCTGAAAGAGCTGACTTGCATACAGTAGTAGTGGGCAACCTCACCTTGAGCAATCCCATCAATCAGTGGAACATGCCAGTGCGCAATGCTCCATGCTCGCGCTCTTCACCTCAGCGTGTTTCCGTCAAAGCTATCAGCTAATTGCCTGAAAAGCCATCTGCGCTCTTCATAGCGTGGTATGGTGACCACTGGCAGTGGCAAGGGCGCACTGGCTGGCTCCTGAACATCGTGAAGCAAGTGAGCAATTCTTAGCAAATAGGTCCTAAAGCCTCAAGTGCCTGTCGTGCAAGGCTGGAGCGAGGGTCGTTCGCTAAAATGTTCTGGGATCACGAGGCTAGAGGCCGGCTCATAACTTCCCCTAAAGGGTTGGCTTGACTTGTGAAATCTCCCAAACTAAAGAACCCAAAGATCTTTGCAATCGCGAGCCTCCCCCCTTCTGTGCACCTCCTCTTGCATCCAGCTGCGTGGCAAGTGCAGTCGCTGCATCCAAACCTGAGCTGAATTCGGCGTTGAAATCAAATGGATGAGGGCTCGCAAACGCCTAGTGAAGCAGGTGCAAACAGAGGGCTTCGCACCTTCTAGGTTATCAACCAAGGAGCCTGGTTCACAAGGCTTACAAACAAAGGGGGTCCAGGGTTCACACTGTTTCTCACGCGCCGGCATGCGTGTGCGCGCTCAAGGGCCCTTGCGGCCGCGGGAACAAAGGATGCAATCATCCACGAACGAAAGAAATCTTGCACTCCCTAAAATCTTCTTTCTCGTGAAGACCCGCTGGATCTGATCGCGGATCAACAGCACGGAGTGCAACCAAACCACGGGTGAGGACATCCCTCAAAAG